AGAACTCTATGCCATGGTTTGAGCTTTGGATCATTGGTCACATTATTTGAGGCCACAGCCTTTTCATCTCACATTCGGATCATGAATCTTTAAGGTTCATTCATGGGCAAAAGAAGTTGAATGCAAGGCATGCTAAGTGGTGGAATTCCTACAATCTTTCAACTTTGCAACCAAGTACAAGAAGGGCAAAACCAATATTGTGGCAGATGCATTATCAAGAAGGCATAATCTTCTTGGAATCATGGAAACTAAAATTCATGGTTTCAGAGGTCATGAAGGAATCATACAAAGATGATCTTGAACTCAAGGAAATCATGGAGTCTTGCAAAATGGAGTCCACGGTTCATTTGTCATAGTAGATGGTTTCCTTTTCAAAGGGAACAAACTTTGTGTTCCTAAAGGTGCAATTCGAGAGTTGTTGATCAAGGAAGCTCATGGAGGAGGACTTGCTGGTCATATGGGTATACAAAAGACCCTAGAAATCTTACAAAGTCATTTTTATTGGCCAAAATGTTAGCTAATGTGCACCAAGTTTTGGCTAGGTGTTCTATTTGTCAAAGAGCCAAATGACGTTTCATAAGGGAGAGTATAAGCCTTTACCCATTCCCGAAAGACCTTGGGAAGATTTGAGTATGGATTTCATAATTGGCCTTGCTAGAACAGCTCGTTGTAAAGATTCTATCATGGTGGCCGTTGATCGGTTTTCAAAGATGGCTCATTTCATAGCTTGTAAGAAGGTGGATGATGCGTTCAATGTGGCGCAACTTTTTTTAAGAAGTGGCTAGATTACATGGTTTGCCTAGAACCATAGTTTCGGATCGTGACACTACGTTTGTGAGTCATTTTTGGAAGTCCTTGTGGAGGCTCGTGGGTACTAAGCTACTTTTCTCAACAAGCCATCATCCACAAAAAGATGGTCAAACCGAAGTGGTGAACCGAATTCTTGGTTTCTTTGCTTCGTGCCTTAGTGAATAAGGGAGGTAAAGATTGGGACTTGAAGTTAGCTCATGCAGAGTTTGCCTACAATAGAACTCCAAGCAAAACTACAAAGTATTCACCTTTTGAAGTTGTGTATGGTGTGAATCCTTATGTGCCGATTGATTACATTTCTCTTCCTAAAGATAAGTTCGTGCATGGGACAGCAAGGAGCATATCGAATTCATGATTGATGTCCATAAAGAAGTTAGGAAAGAACATAGAAAAGGCAAATGAGTCATACAAGAAGCAAGCTAACAAAAACTTGAGAAATATGAAGAAGTTCGAAGTGGGTGATCTTGTGTGGATATTCTTGCGCAAAAGAAAGGTTTCCTAAACAAAGGAAACACAAATTGATGCCTAGGCAGAAGGGCCTTTTCAAATCATGGAAAAGAAAGTTGACCTTGGGGGCAATTCGGAGTTTCATCAACTTTCAACGTGGGTGACTTGGCTCCTTATCTAGAAGATGATGAGTTGAGGGAAACTCCTTTCGAAGAAGGGGAGGATGATGCAAATCATGACGAGTCCATTAGTCCAAACAAGCATGATCATCCTACAAGTCCAATTCACAAAGAAATCATTCTTGCTAAGTCATTTGAAGATCAAGTGTTAGATACTTTTTGTGCGCATGGACCGTTTCTTGCTAACCAAGGGTTTACTTGTTTACATTCTGGTTTGAATATTAGTGGGCATCCTAGGCACGTTTTCTTCACCTTAGGCATAGGAAAAGGCGTCCTTGAAGCAAGGAAAACTTCATTGCAAGTCATAAACATTCAGCATAAAGAAAGCATGAATCAAGGGGAGGTTACTCCACGTTTTTGCTGTTCTTTATGGCTGTGCTTAAGCTTCTTTTCAGCAGTTTTTAAGAGGTTAATTAAGGGTGATTAAGCCTAAAATCAGTTAAGAAAATCTGTTTAACTTAGGCGTGATTCTAGGCTAGTTTTAGCTTTCATGTTTAGTTACAATAAACACACATTAAGCTTGTTTAATGCGTGTAGTTTTAGTACTAGTTTGCTTTCTTTATTTAAGCTTATGCAATGTAAGTGTATGGCAGATTATGATATATGAATTAAGAAAGTTTTCTCCTTAAAACTATTTATTCTTGTTGCTAAGATAAATCGTTTTTGTTACCAAGTTTAACTTGACGAATTTGAGTGGTTAAGTGAGTTTTCCTTCCATGCAAATTAAACAACTAGTGGTTTTAAGTGAGTAATCCTTGCCTACATATCTTGTTTGTTTAAGTGAGTAATCCTTACAAACTAATCTTCTTCCCTCTAAAAAAAAACGTTCCTTAACATTTCCAAAACAACCTACAAACCTTACCCGTAATTTGACTTAAAACACCAACCTTTGTTTCTTTCCACTTAAGTTTGATCCATTAAGCTTGTATTAATTAAGACTTTCTTTTAGTTTTTAAATCATTTGGCGCGTCAGGTAGGGAAGTTTCTGTCCAAATGGATCAAGCAAACCCAAATGAAACCATTGACCAAAGGAACTTAGAATTATGGAGGAAAACCAACAAAGACTCTTGGAAACCAATGAGCAATTACATGGTAATATAATGGCTCTAATGGCTCGTTTGTTGACACAAGAACAAAGGGATGGGCGTCAAAACCCTCCTAGATATGATGACAAGAGTCTAAAGGTGGATGTAGACCTTTTTTGATGGTACTCTTGACCCTGAGAAGTACTTGGAGTGGGAGCAATCACTTGAGAGGTACTTTGAGTTCAAAGACGTTGAGGAATATGAACAAAAGTACAAGATTGCTAAGGTAAAGATAGCCAAGTATGCTGAAACTTGGTTGAAAGGAGTCCAAAGAAAACGAGAAAGCAATGGGAAAACTCGTATTTCTACATGGACCAAGCTTAGGAAGAAACTTAGGGGACGATTTGTTCCTTCTAATTACAAGCAATCCATGTATGTGAAATGGAGTACTTTGCAGCAAGGAGGGAGTAGTGTGGAGGAATACATTAAAGAATTTGAGAAACTTTCCATTGTGTGCGAAATAGTGGAAAATGAAGAACTCAAATTAGGGAGGTTTATGGCTGGTTTGGATAAGGACATTTATGAGAAAGTAGAAGTGCAACCCAATCTGACCTTTGATGAAGCTTGTAAGCTTTCGGTGAAATTTGACAATCAAAAGAAGAAGAAGAAACCTTCGAACCCTTTTGACCCAAAATTCAAACGTCCATTTAACCCACCAAAAGAAACCCCTTCCTTTCCAAATTCCACTACCAAAAAGAACCCTACCTCGTTTGATCTTTCACAAAAGAAAAAGGAAAAGCCAAAACCGGAGACTTAAGTGACATTGTTTGTTTCAAATTCACGGAAGAGGACACTACAAGAGAGATTGTCCTAATGCAAGAGCTTTAACCATACGAGAGCTTAAGAATATGATGCACAACCTTTTGTCCTTGAAGAAGAGAAGGAGGACGAAAATGGTAGTGAAAATGTACCTTTAGAGTCTTATGATTCTAATGAGGAGAGGAGCAAGTTGATGACTGTTTTCCCGAAAAAAATAGTCTAGTATGAGGAGAGCCCTCCAAATGCACGTGGAGGTTGAGAAAACCCCAATTCAAAGAGAGAATGTCTTCTTAACCAAATGCAAGGTTAATGAAGATGTGTGTGACTTGATTGTTGATAGTGGCAGTGAAGCTAATGTTGTGTCAAGTGATCTTGTTACGAAACTTGACTTGGAGACTACTAGACATCCTACTCCTTACAAGTTGAGTTGGCTTGATAAGAGCAAGAGTACGGGGGTTAGAAAACAATGTCTAGTAAAATTTCAGATTGGTTCGTATGTGGATGAAATTTTATGTGATGTCATTCCATGGATGCTTGTCACATTTTGTTAGGGAGGCCATGGCAAAGTGACAAAAAATCAGTACATGATGGCCTATCAAACACTACACCATTACTCACCAAGGCAGCAAGAAAGTGTTGCACCCTTACCACCACAAAAAAGCCTTTCCCAAACACAATCCCCACACCACAAAAAGAACCCAAAAGAAAGGACATTTTGTTGCTTTCCTTAAAAGAATTCGAAAACTCTTTGGAGAAGCAAGATGAAGTGTTCTTATTGTTTTCTAAAGAGGAACACGAAGGTTTTGTCCAACAAAACCCTAGGCTAGCCGCATTGATCAAGGAGTATGAAGATGTTTTTCCTAATGAATTACCACAAGGGTTGCCTCCTATTCGTGGTATAGAGCATCAAATAGATTTGATTCCGGGAGCCCCCCTTCCAAATAAACCCCCTTATAGATGCAATCCCATGGAAACTAAGGAATTACAAAGACAAATTGAGGAGTTGATTCAAATGGGTTACGTGAGAGAATCCATGAGTCCTTGTGCCGTTCCACGCTTTGTTAGTGCCAAAAAAGGATGGAACATGGAGGATGTGTATTGATAGTAGGGCGGTGAATAACATAACCATTAAGTATAGGTTTCCTATTCCTAGACTTGATGATATGTTAGATGAGTTGAGTGGAGCTCAAGTGTTTTCCAAGATAGATTTGAGGAGTGGATATCACCAAATTAGAATGAGGGAAGGTGATGATGGAAAACAGCCTTTAAACTAAGCATGGTTTGTATGAGTGCTTGTTATGCCATTTGGATTAACAAATGCTCCAAGCACCTTCATGAGACTTATGAACGAAATGTTGAGGCCATTTTTGGGAAGTTCGTAGTTGTTTACTTAGATGACATTCTCATCTATAGTAAAATGAGGAGGAGCACTTGAAACATTTGGAAGAGATTTTCAAAACCTTGAGAGAGCAACAATTGTATGGAAATTGGAGAAATGCCATTTTTGCTAACGATATTGTTTTCCTTGGTTATATTATTTCAGGTGAAGGAATTAAAGTTGATCCAAGCAAAGTGGAAGCCATTTCTTCATGGCCAATTCCAAAAACAGTCACGAGGTTCGTTCATTTCATGGACTTACTTCGTTCTATAGGCGGTTTATTGAACATTTTAGCACCCTTATGGCTCCCATCACCGAATGTACAAAGAAGGGAAGTTTTCAATGGACTCCACAGCTCAAAAGGCGTTTGAGTTGGTGAAGAAAAAGATGTGTGAAGCGCCGGTTCTAGCTCTTCCAGATTTCATGAAACCATTTGAAGTTGAGTGTGATGCAAGTGAAAAGGAATAGGGCTGTTCTAATCCAAGAAAAGAAGCCAATTGCGTATTTTAGTGAGAAATTGAGCAAGGCAAATTAAATTACTCCACTTATGACAAAGAACTCTATGCCATGGTTTGAGCTTTGGATCATTGGTCACATTATTTGAGGCCACAGCCTTTCATCTCACATTCGATCATGAATCTTTAAGGTTCATTCATGGCAAAAGAAGTTGAATGCAAGGCTGCTAAGTGGGTGGAATTCTACAATCTTTCAACTTTGCAACCAAGTACAAGAAGGCAAACCAATATTGTGGCAGATGCATTATCAAGAAGGCATAATCTTCTTGGAATCATGGAAACTAAAATTCTTGGTTTCGAGGTCATGAAGGAATCATACAAAGATGATCTTGAACTCAAGGAAATCATGGAGTCTTGCAAAAATGGAGTCCACGGTTCATTTGTCATAGTAGATGGTTTCCTTTTCAAAGGGAACAAACTTTGTGTTCCTAAAGTGCAATTCGAGAGTTGTTGATCAAGGAAGCTCATGGAGGAGGACTTGCTGGTCATATGGGTATACAAAAGACCCTAGAAATCTTACAAAGTCATTTTTATTGGCCAAAAATGTTAGCTAATGTGCACCAAGTTTTGGCTAGGTGTTCTATTTGTCAAAGAGCCAAAATGACGTTTCATAAGGGAGAGTATAAGCCTTTACCCATTCCGAAAGACCTTGGAAGATTTGAGTATGGATTTCATATTGGCCTTGCCTAGAACAGCTCGTTGTAAAGATTCTATCATGGTGCCGTTGATCGGTTTTCAAAGATGGCTCATTTCATAGCTTGTAAGAAGGTGGATGATGCGTTCAATGTGGCGCAACTTTTTTTTAAGGAAGTGGCTAGATTACATGGTTTGCCTAGAACCATAGTTTCGGATCGTGACACTACGTTTGTGAGTCATTTTTGGAAGTCCTTGTGGAGGCTCGTGGGTACTAAGCTACTTTCTCAACAAGCCATCATCCACAAAAAGATGGTCAAACCGAAGTGGTGAACCGAATTCTTGTTCTTTGCTTCGTGCCTTAGTGAATAAGGGAGGTAAAGATTGGGACTTGAAGTTAGCTCATGCAGAGTTTGCCTACAATAGAACTCCAAGCAAAACTACAAAGTATTCACCTTTTGAAGTTGTGTATGGTGTGAATCCTTATGTGCCGATTGATTACATTTCTCTTCCTAAAGATAAGTTCGTGCATGGGACAGCCAAGGAGCATATCGAATTCATGATTGATGTCCATAAAGAAGTTAGGAAGAACATAGAAAAGGCAAATGAGTCATACAAGAAGCAAGCTAACAAAAACTTGAGAAATATGAAGAAGTTCGAAGTGGGTGATCTTGTGTGGATATTCTTGCGCAAAGAAAGGTTTCCTAAACAAAGGAAACACAAATTGATGCCTAGGGCAGAAGGGCCTTTTCAAATCATGGAAAAGAAAGTTGACCTTGGAGGCAATTCGGAGTTTCATCAACTTCAACGTGGGTGACTTGGCTCCTTATCTAGAAGATGATGAGTTGAGGGAAACTCCTTTCGAAGAAGGGAGGATGATGCAAATCATGACGAGTCCATTAGTCCAAACAAGCATGATCATCCTACAAGTCCAATTCACAAAGAAATCATTCTTGCTAAGTCATTTGAAGATCAAGTGTTAGATACTTTTTGTGCGCATGGACCGTTTCTTGCTAACCAAGGTTTACTTGTTTACATTCTGTTATGAATATTAGTGGGCATCCTAGGCACGTTTTCTTCAGCCTTAGGCATAGGAAAAGGCGTCCTTGAAGCAAGGAGAAACTTCATTGCAAGTCATAAACATTCAGCATAAAGAAAGGCATGAATCAAGGGGAGGTTACTCCACGTTTTGCTGGTTCTTTATGGCTGTGCTTAAGCTTCTTTTCAGCAGTTTTAAGAGGTTAATTAAGGGTGATTAAAGCCTAAAATCAGTTAAGAAAATCTGTTTAACTTAGGCGTGATTCTAGGCTAGGTTTTAGCTTTCATGTTTAGTTACAATAAACACACATTAAGCTTGTTTAATGCGTGTAGTTTAGTACTAGTTTGCTTTCTTTATTTAAGCTTATGCAATGTAAGTGTATGGCAGATTATGATATATGAATTAAGAAAGTTTTCTCCTTAAAAACTATTTATTCTTGTTGCTAAGATAAATCGTTTTTGTTACCAAGTTTAACTTGACGAATTTGAGTGGTTAAGTGAGTTTTCCTTCCATGCAAATTAAACAACTAGTGGGTTTTAAGTGAGTAATCCTTGCCTACATATCTTGTTTGTTTAAGTGAGTAATCCTTACAAACTAATCCTTCTTCCCTCTAAAAAAAACGTTCCTTAACCATTTCCAAAACAACCTACAAACCTTACCCGTAATTTGACTTAAAACACCAACCTTTGTTTCTTTCCACTTAAGTTTGATCCATTAAGCTTGTATTAATTAAGACTTTCTTTTAGTTTTTAAATCATTTGGCGCGTCAGGTAGGGGAAGTTTCTGTCCAAATGATCAAGCAAACCCAAATGAAACCATTGACCAAAGGAGACTTAGAATTATGGAGGAAAACCAACAAAGACTCTGGAAACCAATGAGCAATTACATGGTAATATAATGGCTCTAATGGCTCGTTTGTTGACACAAGAACAAAGGGATGGGCGTCAAAACCCTCCTAGATATGATGACAAGAGTCTAAAGGTGGATGTAGACCTTTTTGATGTACTCTTGACCCTGAGAAGTACTTGGAGTGGGAGCAATCACTTGAGAGGTACTTTGAGTTCAAAGACGTTGAGGAATATGAACAAAAGTACAAGATTGCTAAGGTAAAGATAGCCAAGTATGCTGAAACTTGGTTGAAAGGAGTCCAAAGAAAACGAGAAAGCAATGGGAAAACTCGTATTTCTACATGGACCAAGCTTAGGAAGAAACTTAGGGGACGATTTGTTCCTTCTAATTACAAGCAATCCATGTATGTGAAATGGAGTACTTTGCAGCAAGGAGGGAGTAGTGTGGAGGAATACATTAAAGAATTTGAGAAACTTTCCATTGTGTGCGAAATAGTGGAAAATGAAAGAACTCAAATTAGGAGGTTTATGGCTGTTTGGATAAGGACATTTATGAGAAAGTAGAAGTGCAACCCAATCTGACCTTTGATGAAGCTTGTAAGCTTTCGGTGAAATTTGACAATCAAAAGAAGAAGAAGAAACCTTCGAACCCTTTTGACCCAAAATTCAAACGTCCATTTAACCCACCAAAAGAAACCCCTTCCTTTCCAAATTCCACTACCAAAAAGAAACCTACCTCGTTTGATCTTTCACAAAAAGAAAAAGGAAAAGCCAAAACCGGAGACTTAAGTGACATTGTTTGTTTCAAATGTCACGGAAGAGGACACTACAAGAGAGATTGTCCTAATGCAAGAGCTTTAACCATACGAGAGCTTAAGAATATGATGGCACAACCTTTTGTCCTTGAGAAGAGAAGGAGGACGAAAATGGTAGTGAAAATGTACCTTTAGAGTCTTATGATTCTAATGAGGAGGAGGAGCAAGTTGATGACTGTTTTCCCGAAAAAAATGTCTAGTAATGAGGAGAGCCCTCCAAATGCACGTGGAGGTTGAGAAAACCCCAATTCAAGAGAGAATGTCTTCTTAACCAAATGCAAGGTTAATGAAGATGTGTGTGACTTGATTGTTGATAGTGGCAGTGAAGCTAATGTTGTGTCAAGTGATCTTGTTACGAAACTTGACTTGGAGACTACTAGACATCCTACTCCTTACAAGTTGAGTTGGCTTGATAAGAGCAGAGTACGGGGGTTAGAAAACAATGTCTAGTAAAATTTCAGATTGGTTCGTATGTGGATGAAATTTTATGTGATGTCATTCCATGGATGCTTGTCACATTTTGTTAGGAGCCATGGCAAAGTGACAAAAAATCAGTACATGATGGCCTATCAAACACCTACACCATTACTCACCAAGGCAGCAAGAAAGTGTTGCACCCCTTACCACCACAAAAAAGCCTTTCCCAAACACAATCCCCACCACCACAAAAAGAACCCAAAAGAAAGGAATTTTGTTGCTTTCCTTAAAAGAATTCGAAAACTCTTTGGAGAAGGAAGATGAAGTGTTCTTATTGTTTTCTAAAGAGGAACACGAAGGTTTTGTCCAACAAAACCCTAGGCTAGCCGCATTGATCAAGGAGTATGAAGATGTTTTTCCTAATGAAATTACCACAAGGGTTGCCTCCTATTCGTGGTATAGAGCATCAAATAGATTTGATTCCGGGAGCCCCCCTTCCAAATAAACCCCCTTATAGATGCAATCCCATGGAACTAAGGAATTACAAAGACAAATTGAGGAGTTGATTCAAATGGGTTACGTGAGAGAATCCATGAGTCCTTGTGCCGTTCCAGCTTTGTTAGTGCCAAAAAAAGGATGGAACATGGAGGATGTGTATTGATAGTAGGGCGGTGAATAACATAACCATTAAGTATAGGTTTCCTATTCCTAGACTTGATGATATGTTAGATGAGTTGAGTGGAGCTCAAGTGTTTTCCAAGATAGATTTGAGGAGTGGATATCACCAAATTAGAATGAGGGAAGGTGATGAGTGGAAAACAGCCTTTAAAACTAAGCATGGTTTGTATGAGTGGCTTGTTATGCCATTTGGATTAACAAATGCTCCAAGCACCTTCATGAGACTTATGAACGAAATGTTGAGGCCATTTTTGGGGAAGTTCGTAGTTGTTTACTTAGATGACATTCTCATCTATAGTAAAAATGAGGAGGAGCACTTGAAACATTTGGAAGAGATTTTCAAAACCTTGAGAGAGCAACAATTGTATGAAAATTGGAGAAATGCATTTTTTGCTAACGGATATTGTTTTCCTTGGTTATATTATTTCAGGTGAAGGAATTAAAGTTGATCCAAGCAAAGTGGAAGCCATTTCTTCATGGCCAATTCCAAAAACAGTCACGGAGGTTCGTTCATTTCATGGACTTACTTCGTTCTATAGGCGGTTTATTGAACATTTTAGCACCTTATGGCTCCCATCACCGAATGTACAAAGAAGGGAAGTTTTCAATGGACTCCACAGGCTCAAAAGGCGTTTGAGTTGGTGAAGAAAAAGATGTGTGAAGCGCCGGTTCTAGCCTTCCAGATTTCATGAAACCATTTGAAGTTGAGTGTGATGCAAGTGGAAAAGGAATAGGGGCTGTTCTAATCCAAGAAAAGAAGCCAATTGCGTATTTTAGTGAGAAATTGAGCCAAGGCAAATTAAATTACTCCACTTATGACAAAGAACTCTATGCCATGGTTTGAGCTTTGGATCATTGTCACATTATTTGAGGCCACAGCCTTTCATCTCACATTCGGATCATGAATCTTTAAGGTTCATTCATGGGCAAAAGAAGTTGAATGCAAGGCATGCTAAGTGGGTGGAATTCCTACAATCTTTCAACTTTGCAACCAAGTACAAGAAGGGCAAAAACCAATATTGTG